ATAGGGGTAAAAGTTCACCTGAGCGGAGGTGGTGATAAAGACCATATGGCATGCTCTCCTTAGTATTCGACAGGGTGCGATATTAGAGACAATTCTCCTTAGAGTCTTATAAGGTGTGATGTTGGAGAAAATCTCATTAATGTTTATTGAGGTGCAACATTAGAGAAGATCTCCTTAATGCTTATTGAGGTGCGGTGTTGGAGATGTGAGACTCCGTAATGTTTATGAGATACGATGTTAGAGTGAACGACACCCGATTGTGTGTATTGGGAGAAATCATAGTCCGTATATGCAATAGAACATCTTTAGTCGGATGATTTTACTACTGCAAGTAAACTCAAGGCTAATGAGAGTGTACATTGGTCTCAAGTGAGCCTATGATTTCATGTAAGGGTGATTTAAATGTTTGGTTGGTAGTAATCATGCTATGGGATGTTATGGAATGCTATGTGAAAGTGGTGAAAAGTGGGGAATGGATATGTGTTATAAATATGAATGGAAATGGGAAATGCGATATAAATGCTATTTTAATGAGATTTAAGTGGTATATTATGCTTTACTTCTATATTATTGCATGTGATAGTCAATAAGAGTGAGTTATTCTGTTACTAAAATTTTTATCTCACCCCCTGTGATTACATGTTTACAGGATTAGGCAGTGATCAGGGTAAGGGAGGAGAGTTTGGATCGGCTTGAGTTGTTGAAGCCATGAGATTCCAGAGTTTATGTAATAAACTAAGGAACTTGTGTATATATCTGTAAATGAGTTGTCATAGGGTTGCATGCATAACTTGAGTAGTTATTTTATGGAATCTTAGCCCAATTATATGTGTTTGTGATGAAATGAATCAAAAGGCTATGATTCAAGGATGTTTGTGTTGAAATTGTTGTGATTGATGGTGAATCTTAAGCTCAAGTGAAAAATTATGATGAAATGAGTAATTTGGGGCTAAGATTAAGTAATACATGGGTTGTAATGTGAATGTATATGAATGTGATTAGACAAGAGGCCAAGTGGGCCAAGTTATGCCAAGTGATGGCAATATGTGTAAGTTTGTGAAATGTGAAAATTTGTCGTAAAAGGATCAAACTTCAATACACGTGTATGGTTGTAATATAATATGGTCAATCAGGTGTAATAGGTCCTTTTAGACTTGATTCAAAGCCTTGTGTGGTTTAATGAGAGAAAGGGATTAATTTGAGTGCTTGGAAGTGCATATTTTTTAGAAAAGTGACTTTTTGCACCCAGGTGTCTAAAATTTGATCGGACTGTTAGATCGTGTCTAAACCTATCTCATTAGCTAACTTATGAATTAAGTTTCATGTGGGTGCTTGAATCATCTAATTGGATGTCGTATGTGAAAATGATGCATGCTAAAAGTTTGTCATTTTTGCTGTCAAAATGACAGCAGAAATTCATATAGGCGTGTTGCGATGCATGGTGACACATGCCATGACGCATGACACAGAAAGGTTGAGTGTGTGGCTTTATGCCACATGCCACGACGCACGAGCCAATTCCCAACTTGTTTTTTGATTTAAAGGCACGCAATTGGAAGGGGAATGCTCATGGTTTGTGTCCACTACGTATTAGATAAATGTGTTATTTGCTTTCGCTGTGTATTTTTTAATATGTTATGACTTTTGGATGGTTTTACAAAATAAGTCTTCAGCCAAAACTTTTTAAACAAGTCCTTTGAATTGTGATTGATGTGTAAGTGTGGTAACTCTGTAACTTTCTCTTATATTAAGTTAATATAAGAGGGGGTTACAGACTAAATTTCTCGCTAATATGATCCCTCACTAAATTTAACGAGTTCTTCGTTAGCTTCGAATTTAGTGAGGGAAAATGACATTTAGCAAAGGATTTGTCCCTTGCTAAATTCTATTTTTTCAGTGGTGATTCTATAATCCAAAGCCAAGCATATGGTAGTTTAAACCAAATACTTCCACCATGTTTTCTTTTTCTCTCTTTTTTTTACATCATATTTTTATTTCATAAGGTGTTTTCAAGTAACATTCCTGTTGTTAAAAATACATCTTATAGCCACATGACTCAAACTTCTTAAAAAACCCCCAAGATACCCAAACCTTGAAACAAACATATTAATAAGTCTAAACACCTATGTCTAATAGAGGATTGAGTTTCACCAACTTGTATCCAAGAGTTCAAGATAGTTCCTAATTTCTTGTACAACTTTTTCTTTTTCAATTGGTATCTTATACACACAAATATAGTTCATCAAAACACATATATATGTAGTATGCTAACAGAATATAGACCCAATATTCTTATTAAAGCCATCATCAAGTCACAGTAAGAAATTTTGATAAACATCAAAGGAAGTGTTTTCAACATTTTAATCCACATCTCTATTCAAATTCATGACTGAAAAATCTCTTAACAAATAAAGGGATTTTATAGTTAGGCAGTATCTCTACAGATCAATTTGTGCATCCTAACACCAATATGAACTTTATGAAGTAGGATATAGAAGTAATCTAAAAATAAAAAACAATATTAAATCAAATTCAAAATTGGATTCAAACCTTTTAACAAAGATGGGTGTCTCCAATTAGTCTTCTCTCCTTCTCCTCCTTCATCTTTTTGGCCTTAATCAAACTCCCTTTTTCCTTATTGCTTTCCCCCGACTCTATAGTTCTCTCCAAAATCAGACCTCAATCTCTCTTTTGTTGCTTTGGTCATTCTTTGTGGCTAGAGCTAGGAAATGGGCAAGCTCAACTGATATGGGCATAAGCCCAGTTTCTCATTTTTTGTCCATTTCTTGAGGCCCGACCCTTACTCGAATGCTTAAGGCCAAGCCCATAAGCCTTGTTTCAAAATTTTTTTTAAATTAAAATTAAACATTATAAATTAATTAAAATATTCTAAAATTCAAAATAAAACAAATCAAGATTCCCATAATCTTCAAGAAATTAAGCATCACACATTTAGAAGACTATATTAATTATAATATTTATCAATCTAAACCTAAATCCTCCTCCTTATTGTCATCTATAAATAAAATATTTGAATCAGGTTCTGGGCATTGTGAAAATATCAAACATGTAAATATTTATTTCATTTCAAATATAAATAAAATGTTATTTTCATTTCAAAATCTGCACATATTCAAATCTTGAACAACTTATCAAGTATGGTTAGATAAAAGAAAGTTTCAGAAATCAAATTAGACTTGTGACTCAAACATAAATTCATGCATATGATCAGCTTATGAATGTCAACATGTGTTTGAGCTAGTTTAGCAGCTTGACCCAGTGAAGTGAAGGCATTTATATGATTTGTATTGAGACTAATTTTACAAGTGACATGCAAATGTTTAATAAAGTGGAAAAACATACATGAATCCCATTATAAGATAATGTATTAATGCACTACATGAATCCTGTTCTAAATACTTTTCAAACAGATTGAGCTAACGCAAAATCTAGTCTCTACATTCCATTTTATAAATCTCAATTAACATTTGGTGATTCTATCACACAGTTCAATCACTAATTTGCTTTTGGTGTTGACAAATCCTTAATCATCTTCTATCTACTTCTAGAACTATGCCATGTTTAACCATCGCTAAACAATTACATTTTTATTAAAAATAAGTTTGAAAATCTTCTAGTATTATAATCAGACTCCCAATTCTGAAAGGTTGCCATATTTTTGATTAAGTAAGAATAAGTAAAAAAAAGATTAAGAAGGAATATTTTTGTTTGATTGATTTTGCTTGTCAACAAAAAATATGGGTTATTAACTGTCATTTTTAAAATTTATAGCCCATGAAGCTTTATTATTTGTAAATTTGGTAAACACGCCACTTGGAAGCCCGAGGTTGGCATAACAGAAGAACAGAAAGCGTTTTTGGCCCAAAAATATAAAGCAAAGGAGGAAAAAACCAAAAAGATGGGTAAAAAAAAACTGACGTAAAGGTATTGGATTGGACACGCACCCGTAGCGCTAGGGGTGAGCAAAACCGAACCGAAACCGAAAATCGAACCGAATCGAATCGAATTTTGTCTATTTGATTCGGTCTATTTGATTTTTCAGTTCGATTCGGTTTTTTTATTTTAAATATTTCGGTTGATCGGTTCGATTCGGTTAGTAAAATTTAAAATCGAATAGACCGAACCGACCGAATTATATATAATTTATTAATTTATAAATTATATTTAATTTATAAATTATTTTATTTTTATTTTTATTTTTTATTTTAATAAAGAATAAAAAATAATAACATCACTTGAAACCCCATTTCAATCAGTCACTCTCATCAGTAGGTATTGTGACTGAATTATGAGGCTATTATTTGATCATCGGTGTTTATTTACGGTTGTTTATTTGATTATTCATGTCTTTATAATATTTGGGCTTTATGTCATATGAGTATAATTAGAATGGGCTCATATTGAAAAAAACGAAAAGAAAAAAAGGCCCAATTTTATAGTGTTGTTTGTTTTAATATTTAAAAATTAAGCCCAAACCGAAAAACCGAATTAACCGACCAAACCGAATTATCAAATTTCGGTTCGGTCCTTATTCGGTTCGATTGGCTTGTTCGGTTCGATTCGGTTTTCATTTTTAATGTTATTCGATCGATCGATTCTGCATATTTTGAGACCGAACCGAACCGAACCGACCGATGCTCACCCCTACGTAGCGCCCAACTGTTAATCCCATGCCAGCTACCTACTTTTTGCCCCTTCCGATGGGGTGTGTATTTTACGCGCTATTACCGCGAGTGGTAGAATAGGAAGCTCTTAATCTATTCTCGACAGCTCTCGCATTCCATCGAATCTTCATTTTTTATACAAGAAACAGATGGATGGGCAATCGTGGCATGGCATGATCCCTGAGCTAATTTATTATGTTATGGACCCACCTGGTTTGACGGACACGATGATTGATTGAATTGCGTATGACCGTTCGATATTCGTAAAACGAAGTTTCTTTCTTTAACTTTTTTTTTTGTTTTTTAAATCTGGGCACGAACGACGAAATATGGATGTGATGAACAGTACTGGGGAGGGAAGAGGGTGCGAGGGCGATTTTGACAGGTCAATTGGATGCGAAGCCCCTAGATCTCCCAAACTCATATAGAGGAATCGTAGATCTACTTTCTCCTTTTCTATATTTTTGGATTGGATAAGAACCAATGGGTTTATGGGAAGCTTTTCTCAATTGGCTTCGGAGGTTAGTTTTCTCGCTTTGCCTTCATTGGCTGCGTAATTTGAAGCATGCTTTTATGAAATCTATTCAGTTCGCCAATGTCCTTTTCCTTTGTTCTGAGGATTGTGGGTCTTAAGTATGTATTCTCGATGGGACGGTTGTCACGGAGATTTTAATGAGTTGTTTTATGACAACTCGTAAATTGACTTGCAAATTATGATTTATGAGTTTTCTCTCAATGATCGGAAAGGAGAAAACAAATAAGTAAAAAGGTATGGCTATAGCAAGTTGAAATTTTAATGTTCTCTGTAATGCTCTAAGGGATTAATTAATATTGAGGAAGAGAATGTCACTGCATTGGAAGGTTTCAGTATATACATTTCTTGTTACGTTTTAAGAACTTCATTTCTAAACGAATCATGAACATTCATCTAAGAAACATTATTATGAGCATGTCTTTTGTAATGAGGCGGCTGGAAGATAATCCAATTTTTCTGCATTGGAGATTTGAGTACTTATTAACCCTAAGCTAGCTATTTTCAAAGCTCTTTAGAAGGTGAACATTTCTCAAACGACATTGTTTGCACTAAACTGTCCCTGCTTTTGTCACTCACTTTTTCAGTTTTTGGTTGTATCATATGTACGTATTTGTGTGAGCATGGATGCATGATGTGAGCTTAATGGACCAATTTCTTCAACGTGCTTAAGCTTAATACGTTGTAAATTTGATTGCAGCCTTTTCTTCAAGCAGGAAATGGAGTTATCTCTGATAGGACTTCAGAATGCTGGAAAGACTTCACTTGTAAATGTAGTTGCTGTAAGTACAATAACAATACTGGATTTCATTTAGTCTATTTCTTTCATTCTTCATAATTTGAGCCTTATTCACTGAAAATTGGCTTCATGATCTGATTTCTAGACTGGTGGCTATAGTGAGGACATGATTCCGACGGTAAGTTCTGTTTCCCAAATGCTTATATTGTTTGTTTCTTCTCCACTCATGAGTCATAGGCGGTCTCAAGTTTTCTGTCTAGCAAGGAGAATAATAATCTGATTAAACTAAACCAATGTCATCTGATTACAGGTGGGATTCAATATGAGGAAAGTTACAAAGGGCAATGTAACAATCAAGTTATGGGATCTTGGAGGGCAACCTAGGTTCCGCAGCATGTGGGAGCGTTACTGTCGTGCTGTTTCTGCAATCGTGTATTGACCAAATTTTTGTTTCTAGTTGACTTTAAAGATTCTTTCTTTTTCTCTGTTATTTGGCATTTTTTCTCAAAGGAGAAATGGTAAATGCATTTACAGTTAATCATAGGCATGTGCTGATGGATGTGGTCGTGCACTAGTATGTGTATCTCTTTTCATTGGTGACTTAATTTTTGCGTGTCTATATATGTTTGGTAAATTGTGAATTGTTAAAGTTCTGTAAAAAGCAATGTAATGCTGTTCTCCGATCAAGCTACATAGTTGTCTAGCTAGATCTTTATTGAATGTTCATTATAACCAGATTATGTTCTGTCAATTATATTTTTAATAGCTGAATTAAGTGCGTGTATTTTCCTGTGGCTGTAGGGCTAAACACGTTAAATTTTTCCTGTCATGGTCTAAAACTCAGTTCCTAGTTGATCAATAAAGCTTGCCACTTTGATGCCTGTCCATGGAACTCCACCCAGATGTGCTTGATATGTTAAATTTATTTGCCTCTCTGGAAAGTACAGAGTTTTGCATATTCTTATTGATTAAATGTTTTTTACAAGCCATATGTCTCGGGCAATGAATTTTCTACTTGATATTGCTCATCATGATTATATTATTCATAGATCAAGGAAGTAACCACAATTTCTGGAAACAGTGTCTCGATTTGATTACTGATCATTAGATTTAGATCAGTTCAACTCCACAAATCTTGCTGTTTTGTTCGGGAAGCACTTGATTTCCTAAATTACAAAGAAATGTTTACATTCAATAAAAACTTGCTATGCTGCTGGTTATTGCCTCTTGAATCTCATGATTTTGCCTTATTGGACCATGTAGCAGTTGCTCACATTTCTTTGAAATCATGCCTTCTGTACTATTACAGTTACATTAGTGGTGTAGTCTAATGCTTGCTTGATCTGATTCGGGTTATGTTTCTGTAATCTAATTTGATCTGTGAAACTCAGTTGTTCTTATCTCATCTTTGCCACAGTTATGTTGTTGATGCTGCCGATCCTGACAATCTTAGTATATCAAAAAGTGAACTTCATGATTTGTTGAGTAAGCCATCATTGAATGGTATACCCTTGTTGGTGTTGGGGAACAAGATTGACAAGCCTGGGGCTTTGAGTAAACAAGCATTGACTGATCAAATGTAAGATAAATACCGCTGCTAGTATGAAAAACTCTTGTTGATAAACAGATAACAGATTAATATAATCTTCCATAGCATGCAGTAATGTGTAAAATTAATGAGTATATTCATTCAGATTAATATAATCTTCCATATTCAATTGCTTATTTCCCTGATTTTACTTCTGTGCTAAAAGAGCTGTCTGGCGTGCAGGGATCTGACGTCAATTACTGACAGAGAAGTCTGCTGCTTCATGATCTCGTGCAAAAACTCGACTAACATTGACTCTGTTATAGATTGGCTTGTAAAGCATTCCAAATCAAAGGGCTAAGACGCTCCTCTCTGCTGGGAATTCTGTTGTAACTGCTCATTGATAAATTGCTGGATGTTGGTGGTAGCGTTTGCATGTCTAAAACTTGGTTTCAATAGCATTATTCTTGGCCTTTTTTACCCCTTCTCTCGGATGCTTGTTATGTTAATATCATTCTTGTCCTTTGGGACTTGAACGAGATGCCATGTCTGTCAGGGATTACACTTTTGTTAGTTGAGTGTTATTTTGTGAGCTATAACGAGTTTGTACTCTTTTTTTTTTTTGGGTAAAATAACGAGTTTGTAATGGTACTAAAAATGATAATTCGTTGTACCAAAAAATGATAATTCAATTTCAATAATTAAATTTTCTAGCCAAAAAAACTTTAATAATTAATTAGAAAGAATTAACTGGCAGCTCGGCTCCAGTTGAAAGTTGAAACAATAAAGCAACGTTCTAAGGGCTTGTTTGGTTTCTATTCTTATTTTTTATTTTTAAAAGCTATTTTGTAATATAATTTTTAAAATTATTTTGAAACAAAACAATAAAATTTCTTTTAGTTATGTTAATATAAAAAAGTTTTAAAATTAGAAAAATAGATTGAAAATAATAGTTATAATCAGTTAATGATGATGATTTTGTATAGAAATTGGTCAAGGTAATTATAATTTTTAATAATCAAATGTATTGTATTTTAAAAATAAAAACAATAAAGCAATAGCAACTTAAACTTGCTTCTATGTTTTTGATTTTAAAAACAAAAAATGAAAATAGTTTTAAAAACAATTAAATTAAAAACACTAATCTAAACAAGTTTTTAAATTTTTTTGTTTTAAAAAACAAACAACTATTTTTAAAAACAGAAAAAAAAATAAGTCCTAAAATTTTGTTGGATTGAGAAATTATTTTTATGATTACGTGAAGTTAAACTTAAGTTGTTATTGAATCAAAACTTGAATTGATTTTCAAAAAAATGGGTGGGTCTAACATGGTATTAAAAAAGAGTAAAAAAACTAAGAAAAACCCAAAACTTGAACCCTTAAGAAAATTTATTTTATTTTTAGACTTTTCACATGTATATAATATATTTTGGGATCATCTTGTTAGGAAAATATTGACAACTTTAGTGTAGATGTAAATATTTTGAGCCTATTCATTAGAGTTGTTAATTCAGGAAGGTCAGGCTTATTCGAGCTCAATTCTCATCAAGCTTAAAGTATCCTATGTCTTTTAAAAATTTTATATAGTCAAGCTCGAACCTAACACTTTTAGGTTTATTTGGGCTGGCCGAATACCCGAAACTTTTTAAAAATATTTTTTTTATTTTTTTGAACCAATTTTAATTTTTAAATAATTTTGTTAAGTATAAAATATTATTTTAAATTTAAAAGAATAAAATAAAAAGTTAACTTATTAACTTTATACTTAAGTAGCTATGTTACTGTTTTATTGTACTATATATAATTTATTCATGAATATTTTCTTTACTTGTAAATTAATGTCTTAGTTATTTAAATATTGCTTTTATCATGGTCATATATAAATATTTTACTCCCTCCATTAAAAAATGTAAGGTATTTTTTGAGTAGTTAGATGTTAAAAAATAAAAGACATTTTTAATTTTTTGAGGTGTAATCATTATCTTTTTTTCAAAAGTGTCTGTATTGATAATGACTTTATCTTTATTGTAAGGTGTTTAATTGAGATAAATATAAAAAGATAGAGTTAGTTTGAAAGTAGGCAACTACTTTATTGAGGGTGAGATTCGGTTAAAAATGCCTTACATTTTTGAAAGGAAGGAGTATATATTTATATTAAATTATATTTTTTTAATTATGATCAAATTAATTTCAATTCAATTACAATTAAACTACTAGTTCAAAATTATTGTCCAATTAATTCAAAGTTTTTAATAACTTTTGGGTAAGCTGTACTTTTCATTGTGAAGAATATGAAAAAATAGCCATAATTATATTATATAAAATAAAATTAATTAATTATGAGTAAAATACTATTTTTTTGGAATTATCTTTCTTCAACTTTTTATATTGTTTAATCCTTATATATAAAGTATTTTTACTTTTTACTCTAATTTATTCTTAATTTTTAACAAAATAATTATTCAAGAACATTCTATTCATTATGTTTATTTAGTAGTAGAGTCGAAAATTTATATATTCCTAAATTTTATTTTTAAATTATTTTTAAATTTTATTTTTAATTTAAAATTAATTATCTTATTTTATAAAAAATATAAAATATTTTTTTATATGCAAATAATGTATAGGATTAAAATTTTTTTAAAAAAACAATTGGGTCTTAAAATATAAAAATTAATATAAAAATATATTTTAAATATTATTTTGAGATTTTTTATTGATTAAAAATAATAAAATATATGAAAATATAAATATTTTTAATTTTTTAAAAAATAACTATAATAATGCACTCAAATATATACTCCCTCCATTAAAAAATATAAGGCATTTTTAGTCTTTTGAGATATTATTATTGCCTTTTTTTCAAAAGTACTCCTATTGATAATAATTTTATATTTATTATAGGATATTTAATAGGAGTGAATATGAAAAAATAGAGTTAGTTTGAAAGGTAACTACTTTATTGAGAGGTAAAATTTAGTTAAAAATATCTTACATTTTTGAACAGAGAGAGTAGTATTTTAATATAAAATAATATAAAACTTAAAGAATTAACTAATATTTATTATATTTTAAAAAATTTAATTTTTCTTCGAGTATTCAGACCAAGCCCGAACCTAATCGAGCTTGGCTCAAATTTTCTCGAGCCTATTCGGGCCTCTTGAATAATCCCAAATATTAAAATTTTTTTTCTAGCTTGGCCCTATATTTTTTAAGGTGAGTTCAGGCTAACCTATCGAGTTTGGCACAAATTATCAACTCTTTTATTCATATTTAGTTTAACCAAAATCCACCTGCTTGACAAGTTATAATTATAGGTTATAATTTTTTTAATTTATAATCATGTTTTATTATTTTATTAACAATAAGATACATTGGGAATTTATTATATATATATATAATAATTTATATATGTAATTAATATTTTTAATTGGTCATATATGTAATTTATAACTTATATTTTATAATTTATATAAGTTTAACTGATTGAACCATAAAAATTGAGACTAATTAATACTTTTAGTTTAACATCCTATATAAATTTTAAAACATAGAAAGACTTATTTATTGAAACTAAAGATTTAAAACTTAGTTTCCCTTAGTTTTTTTTTGAACATGCATTCTCATTTATTTTTATGTATTTTTAATTAAAAATAATTTTAAGATATATTTACACAAACATATCTTAGTAGGTTTGGTTTTAAGTAGGGGTATTCATGTGACGAGATGGGAACGGGACACCCTTGTCTTGTGTCTCCTCCTAACAAAAGATCGAGACTAAATTTTTATCTCGTGTCTTGTTACATCCTAAAAGTCATCTCATCCTGTTAGGAATTAGAATGAGACTAGGACATTCTGCTGTCCTGATAAATTGAATAATGTAAGAGAAAGATCTGAATAATAAAATTTATTAACATTTTAAATCATATAATTTATTAAGTTTAAAATCAAAATAATATAAGTACATAAATCACAATAATTTAAAGTCAATTATTGAAGTACATTATTCACAATTATAAATGTATAACATTATGATATGAGTTATAAGTGATTTCTAGGCTATAAGAGCAACAACAACAACAAGCAAACTAAGCACAACATTAAATCATTGTTCTCTTACTTTAGTTGAAATGTACTAAGCTAATTACTCTTCTAAAAATAAAGTAAGAAATATGATATAAATAAAAGTTATTAAATATATAGATATAAAAATAAATTGTATTAATATAATTAATATATTATAAAGAAAGATATCATCCTGTTTACTTTATGTTATTAAAATTATCAATATAAAAACTTTTAGTTTTAAATAAAAATTACACACATTGAAATTATAATTGATATTATTAATATAAGTATAAATTATATTAATTTATTTAATGTATATTTTTAAAATAAAAATAAAATATATAATATTTGGTATGAAATGGAATGTCCTGAGAGTAATCATGTGTCTCATCTTGAACTCTTTTCTTGTCTCATCCCAATTATTTTTGAGATGGGATGGGACTCATCTCAATATGATCAAGACGAAATCACCAATTAGAATTAGTATAAGTTGAACACCCTTAGTTTCAAGAGAGTATCTAATAGTTGGGTACTGATACCACCACCTCCTCTAACTCAAGTATTACTTTAAGACTCTTTAAATGTCTCTTTGTTCACTTTTTTTTTTTTTGAATTACAAAGGAAATAAAGAGCCAACATAGCTTACAAGAAAACTCACTAAAGAAGCCTCTCATCATCATCCACCAGTTTCAAACAAATAAGTAGAGGTTGATCAAAAAATTAAAAATTGCCTACTCTATTTAAAGCAAACTTAGCCAAAAAGTAAGCAAAAACGTTTGCCTCTCTAAACATAAGATTCAACGATAAATCCTAGTCTTTATAAAGGAGTGAATGAGCTTGTGTGATAATATCCATGTACAAGTGAAATTCCTTATTATATATGAGGAGAAGGATCAACACATTTGCACAATCAGTAAAAACATTGACCTTCTTCAATCCCATATCCCAACATAACCTAAGATCATAAATAATTCCAAACAACCTAGTCACAGTAACAAGGTAATGGTCTATAGAAACATTAAATCCATCAACCCAGTTAGCATTACAATCTCAGATAATGCAACCACATTTCCCTATTCTGTTTTTCATTGAACCTTCCACATCTAGTCTCACATATCTAATGTTTGTTTTGTTCCATCATTCATTAATAAATCTCATTCTCAAAGGTAAACGAGTGCTTAGCTAGTTGTAAATCATACTTTGTTTTTTTCAAATTCGCAACACCCGTCCCTATTCTCTCCATATCCTTACTAGAGCAAGCTTTCTTACATCCATCGCACCATATATCGTAACAAACATATCCAAAAAGTATGTCCGAGTGTGCCTGATTTGTGAAGCTTTTTCTAGGAGCTTTCCTAAGGTTCCAAGGAATCCATTCCTCTCTACTCAAGCTCTTGAATTGTTACTGCTAATCTAGTCTAACTAGCCCTTTCTAATGTTCCTCTGCATGAAGGAAATCCTTAAACACATGCATTTCATCATCCACTTCATTACAGCCAAGTGAATGTATAATTGAGTTCCCTCAACTCCA